TTCGTGGTCGCGAGCTTCGACATCGCGTATGCGATCATTATTGCAGCCTTAATCAACATGGCTTGCGATCCACCTAGGAAAACTTCATGTTCATTCTTTGACGCTCTGTCTTGAAGTTCATGCCCATGGGTAGCGAGATCGCCCCCGCGATCTCCTAGTTTCAACCCGCGATCTTTGTTTTGACTTTGCGGGTTGGCTTCTCGGTTGAGATCATACTCCTTAGGCTGCGATCTTGGTGCTTACTCCCTTTTGATCCTTTTTCCTACATATTAGCCACATTTTATCCCCTTTTTTGCTTGTAACGTCAAATGGACAAATGTGAACTAAAATAATATGATATGACAAAAGGAAGCAATCTAAACTATAAATTTTATTTTCTAAATCAATTCATGCTCAAAATGATAACATAACACCTAATAGATGAGGGCTAAAAAATACATGTTTGGTGTTATCAGATACCATTACTAATTGTTGTGTATTATGATAACAAGTCTGCAATCCACATTGTGGAGAATCATATTTTCCACAAGAGAAAAAAAACATATAGAAATTGATATGCATGTAACAAGAGAAAGGATCAAGATGAGTTTGATTAAACTATTTCATGTCAACACTATCAACCAGTTAGCTTATCTGTTTACTAAAGGTCTGGACGGGATGAGGATGAAGGAGCTGCTCTGCAAGTTGGAAGTGACTATGCCATCCACAACTTTAACGGGGTGTCAGCAGAGATTGCTTTCTAGCAGATGAAGAAGAAGGTTGAATCCAGATGGAGGAATGATTACGGAGTTGAAGAACAAAGTCATTTTTAATAAGAAAATGTTTTTGGTTTTTGTCTTTCTATTAAATTAACAAAGCTATAGCTACGTAGTTTAATTTATGTTTGGTTAGCCATTGCTAAACACTGTTATGTTTGTAATTAACCAGTGGCATGCCTCCACATGAACTGGAAAGCTAATTTTAATTAGTCGCATCATATAAAAAGAACAGCAAACTCGGAATTCCTTTGAGGTTTCTACTTTCACCAAAAGTTTTTTGTTTTTTTGAAAATGGATCGATTCATTCATTAAAAGCCCGAAGAGGCTGTGAGACAGCAAGGTTCCAGATTACAACAGATCAGAAATAACATTAAGCACTGAGAGCCATTCCGGGTGAAGGGTATTCATTCGACAATTCCGGGCCACCCAATCTGCGTTCCTGTTGTTACGGCGACTGGTGAAGAGAACATTGATCCGATCTGAACTGCCTAGGATAGCCTTGATAGAGGAAAGAATAGCGTAACATCTCCAGGGCCATTTCGTCGGATCTTCCTTAAGTGCATCAACCAGTACCTTGCTGTCCGAGAGAACCGTTGTCGGATTGATGTCTTCTGCTGCCAAAAGACATGCATCGTAAATAGCACAAGCCTCGGCCTCGATCGGGGAAGAACAAATCACCTTCCTCGCCCTTCCATCACAAATCTGTCCGCTAGAGTTAGTAATAACTACTCCGATTGCCGCCTCTTGTGAATCATAGTCAAAAGACCCATCACAAAGTATTCTCCGGTGATGGAGCATCGGCGGTGGACACGATTGTGGAGGAACGACCCTGGGGTGAGAAGAGGTAGAAGAAGAGCGGACGACATACTGAGGTTCAGCCGCATCTCTGAAGGCACAAATAGAGGTCATTGTCGGGGACGGGACAACACCTCTAAAGATGAACTCATTACGTGCCTTCCAAACATTCCAAAGACAGAAAATCTTCTGACGAATTGAGCTCGGGGATTCTCCTTCCTTCAAAGAGAAAATCCACTGTGAAAGATTCTGTGGATGGACATGATTAGGTAACACCTTGGCCCACGTTTCAGCGGCGTGCGGGCAAAGAAACAGACAGTGAATGGAGGACTCCACCTCTGAATTGCAAAGTTGGCATCGGGAATTAGGCGCACATCGACGATTAAACAGATTAAGCTTAGTAGCCAACGCGTTCCTAACACATCTCCACATGAAGAACCGAATCTTAGGAGGCAGATTGAGGGACCAGAGCCACTTCCAGAAATCCTCTGAGGCTGGGAAATTAAGATCTGGAGAGGACGTGGCCGCTTGAGGCAGCATTCTGGACCTCATACGAAGCCCATGGTAAGCTGATCGAACCGAAAAGGATCCGTCAGTGGTGAATTTCCAAGCCCATTTATCGCGACTTTCCGTTGGGCCAATATGGATCCTCGAGATTGCTTCCGCCTCTGCAGGAGAACAATGACGTTGGATAAGACTTGAATTCCACCTATCACCTTCCTCGTTCATCCAGTCCCTAACACGTGAGGGAGGATCCAGTCGCGTCGCAACTTGGTGATGGTGAAGGGAGAGAACCCAAGGATCACCATGAAACCATGTTTCCTCCCCGTTCCCGATAATTCTGATAGCACCAATATCCAAAGCCTTCCTAGCATCGCACAAGCTAGCCCATATCCAAGAGGGAGAACTTCCCTTCCGAGCTTTCCTGAAATCCCCATTAGGAAAGTAGAGGCCCTTGAGAACTCGAGCCCAAAGAGAAGAAGGTTCATTAAGAAGTCTCCATCCCTGCTTAGCCAAGAGGGACATGTTAAACAGATGAAAGTTTCGAAAGCCAATCCCTCCTTCCGCTTTCGGATCAGTAAGAACTTCCCCTTTCCTCCACGGGATCGATCTCTTCTTCATGGATCCTGACCAGAAGAAACGATGCAAGAGAGAATCCATCTTCTTGGTGAGGCAGGCAGGGAGAAGAAAAACACTCATGAGGAAAGTTGGGATGGCTTGAATAACAGCTTTGAGTAGTGTTTCCTTGCCCCCATGAGAAAGCGTGAGACTCTTCCATGAGCCAGCTTTGCTTTCCATTCGCTCGATAAGGAAAGCAAACGTTTCCTTCCTTGAACGGCCCCATTCGGTTGGCACCCCAAGATATTTGTCATGCAAGATAGCGGATGGGAAGTTGAGGTGAGAAGTGATGATATGCCTCAAGTCATCAGGGGTGTTCCTGCTGAAGAAGATTGAAGACTTCTCCATATTGACCTCCTGTCCAGTAAGCGATTTGTACCCATTGATGATACTCATAATTGCCTCCGCCTCCTCTCTTGAAGCTTTCCCGAAGATCACCGTATCATCTGCGAACAAACAGTGAGAGAGACGAGGACACTCGGGCTTCATTTTAAGTCCATGAATCAAATTCTGAGAGAGGCCTTTATCAATCAAGAAAGACAAAGCATTGGACATTAAAATGAAGAGAAAAGGGGAGAGGGGATCTCCCTGACGAATGCCGCGAGATGGAGAGAAGAACTCAGTAGGTCCACCATTGAGAAGGATAGAAAAGCGAACAGTACTGATGCACTCCTTCACCTACCCACACCAGATCTGATTAAACCCGTAAGCTTGAAGAAGCTCATCCAAACAGCTCCAATCGACCAAGTCATACGCTTTGCGCATATCCATTTTCAGCATCATATCAAAACGGCGTCCCACTCGGCGGTTCTTGAAGTGGTGAAGAACCTCATGGACAATGACAATGTTGTCTTGGATCATCCTGCCTCCTGTAAATGCCGCTTGCATTTCAGACACCAAACTGGGCATGAACGTCTTGATCCTGGTTGACATGATCTTTGACACAACTTTGTACTTAAAGTTACAACAACTAATTGGACGGTATTGCCCAATCCTCTCAGGGGATGACACTTTCGGAATTAACGCAATATGCGTGTCATTCCATCCCGCCGGAAGAGTTGTCGAGTCAAAGAAAGATATCACCTCTTTGCAGAAATCCTCCCCGATTGTGCTCCAATACTTCCTGAAGAACATCCCTGAGAAACCGTCAGGGCCAGGGGACTTATGAGGACCCAAAGAAAACACAGCTTGCTTGATTTCCTCCCTGGTCACTTGCTTGCTCAAAAACTCATTCATCTCATGAGACACAAGCCGAGGGAAATCATCAAGAAGATGGTGATCAAAGCCTGTATCTCTAGCAGTGAACAGGTCCTTATAAAAGTCCTGAATATGAGAGGACAACAGGTCTGGTCTCTTGATCCAGTTTCCTTCCTCTCCTTTCAAGCCAAGAATCCGATTGTGGTGTCTCCTGAAAACCGCTGAGTTATGAAAGAATTTTGTGTTTCGGTCCCCTTCAGCAAGCCAATGGATTCGAGAACGTTGACGCCACATTCTTTCCTCCTCCTTCCATAAAGCATCCAGTTCTTCAAGCAAAATTGTTTCTTCATCACAAACCTCCTCTGACCGAAACAAATGAGCAAGAGCTTCAAGGCGTTGTTTTATTTCTCCCTCCCTCTGGTTTTGGGCCTCAATCATACTCTTTGCCCATTGTTTAAGATCATCAGCACACCGTTTAAGACGTTGATCATGAGATCCATCAGCCGACCAAGCATTGAGCACAACCTGGTCACATTCTTCTTTCCCAAGCCAACGTTCATCAAAACAGAAAGGAGGGCGGTTCCATGGCGCAGGTGAGTGAAACTCCAAGCGCAGTGCCCTATGATCTGATCCCACATCACCTTCGTGAAAAAGAGTACCTTCATCAAAGAATTCACGCCATGATGGGGAGCACAATGCTCTATCCAGTCTTCCTTTAATTAGTTGGTCACCACGTCTATTATTCTTCCAAGTAAATTGAGGCCCTTTGTAGCCAAGATCAATGAGATTATTGTTGAAGATGAAAGATTTGAACGGTTCAACGGAGTCTCTTCTTGGCGGGTCGCCTCCACACTTCTCATAGTTGAACAACATAGCATTAAAATCTCCAATAACTACCCAAGGAACACTTGGATCACTCTTAATACAAGATAGCATTTCCCAACACTCCCTTCTACGACTAGCACTCGAAGGAGCATGAACAAAAGTCATAAAAAACCCACAACCATAATTAAGAAAAACATCAAAAAAATTCCGTCCGCGATCAAGAACTTGGAGAGAAACCCCTGCTGCCCACCAAAGAGCTAAACCGCCGGCTGTCCCTTCCGGGTCGACATACTCCCCATGCTGAAAATTGTTGTCGATCCTTTGTTCTTCCAAAATATCTCTCGTATTCTTCGTCTCCATAAGAAATACAAGAGAAGGGCGATGCTTCCTTACCATCCTTTTGAGATGGTTCTCTGTCCGGGGTTGCCCGATCCCCCGACATTTCCAACTCAAGCAACTCATTCTCCGCCTGGTGGCTTATAGCCGGCCACCGGCGCTTCAGGTGCAGCTTGATGCTGCTGATTATCTCCCTTTCCATAATCTTCTGGACCTCCTTCAGCCTCCTCCCTCCTTAAATTACTCTGATGTTTCTTCCCTTTTATCTTCATTATTGCATTACGAGGCTTACTTGCTCCTTCTCCAGTAGAAAAATAGGGACGCTCAAAATCCAGGGGTTGTCCATGTTTTCGTTTCTTGTGTTCAGCTTGCCCCTCCTCATTCCTGTGAGTTGGAAGAAGGCTCTCAATCTCTGCAGGCTTTTTGTTTAAATCCATCTTGGAATTAAGCTCCATAACCATTTGTGTCACTTTCTGTTGAGTTGGAAGCCCCATATTATTGTTGGATCCCAGGAGCTTCTGATGGGCCGAGAGGTAATGGCTTTGGTCATGGGCCTGCCATCCTTGAGCTAGATGATCTCCATGTTGGTACGCCATCTGCTGTGGAAAAAGGTAGGCCCACCTTGCTGCTGCCTCCATCTCTTCGTTGAGGTTTCTAGCCGCCGAAGATGTACCACTCTGAAAATTCGTCTGTGGTGGTAAAAAGGGGATGGCCCCATACATCTGAGGATTCTGGCAAGGTGAGGGGGTATGTAGCCGTTGCTGTTGGGGTCCCATGGCTGATCTCGGACTTGAGGAAAAAGGAGGAAAGGGGTGTGGAGTAAATCCAGGAGGACCTCGATTACCATGCCCCCAACTCTCCTCCGATCCCTGTGCAGAAGGGGTCGCCGGCGACCCAGGATTGAACGACCCCGCCGCCGGTGATTCTCTCCCTGGGATCCAAAGTTGGTTCTGCAGAAAACCAGGCGACCCAGTGCTAGATCCCGCGTCTCCCGGCGAGTGGTGAACCACCCTGCCCCTCGGTGGTGGTGGAGGTCGGCTAGCCTTAGTTCCCGCCTTCATCCAGGGAGTAAACCTCCCCTCCGGTGGCCCTGCAATTCCTGCTTCTTGATCCGCCCTTTTCCTTGGGCACTCAGCTTTGCTATGCCCATGCCTCCCACAGTAGTAACAAAGAACATACAATTTTTCGTACCTAAACCCAAGCCACTCTCTGACCCCTCCTGTCGTGCAGTAGGATCCTGGCGGAAGAGGTCGATTAAGATCAATTTGGATGAAGACTCTGATGAATTCCATGTAGCGATCCGGGTTCAGACCCCTCATGTCGATGTTGTGTATCTTCTTGAACATAGCCACAGCCGCTTCAACATTGGGAACAGTCCGCTTGTGATCTGGGATTCCATGTACCTGGACCCAGAATTCAGCCAGATTGAAATCAATATTTTGGGGACGAGTGGCCTGGTCCCATTGTTTGAGCTGGAGCATGCTTCCAGATATCTGCCAAGGTCTTCCTTCCCATGCCTTCTCCATTTCCTCCTTTTGATTGAAGATAAATATGAAAATATTTCTGGCCCTTGGTATGTCTTGGATCGTTGGTTCGCAGAAATGCGACCAGGCTCCATTAATCATCCCAGCCAAAATTTTCTTGTTAATTTCTCTATCACAGAAGAGTTTGCCCACAAGCCTCAGTTTGGGCTCGGCAAGATGCAGGGGAACATCATCAGAGAAAACAGCCTCGTACTCTTCATCAACCCAGCTTTCCTCTTGGTTTGCCAGGTGATGCATTGTTGAGCTCTCCATATTTTCAGAGAAGGTAGTTTGGGTGAAAATAAGAAGGATCAGATCTGGTTTCAGGGGAGAACTGAGTTCTTGGGAAGGCTGGTGGAACTGAATATAAATGCCCATCTCAAAACATCCAACCATCTCAAGCATTGAAGGCTGGTAGTCGTTAGGTGAGCTTTGATGGACCTTCACCATTAACTCTTTTTGAGGCTCGAGGGGTCTGTAACTTAGATGGAGTATTGGTTCTGTTTTCGGAGGTTTGAAGAGACTGGGGTTTTTCTTTTTAGTACTGACTACTGACATGAAGGGGAGGATAAGCTGATTTAAGGTATAAAGCATTGAATGGGTGAAGATTTTGTGGTTGTGGTAGATCTCGTTCCCCTGTACCTTCTGTAAGAATAGAGCATTGACTCTGGGTAGGGATTGAAGAACTAAATCTCTGTCACTGTGGTAGCTACACCATTTACTCTTGATGGGATCCTTCGAAGAGGAGATGCCCTGAAGTGAAATCTTCTCCAATAGGGATTCTATGGAGGTTGAAAAAGCTTCTCTTTTGGAGAAAGCATCCGGGAAAACAGATCTGGATTTTGGAAGTTCAGAGAGAAAAGAAGAAGAGAAAGAAAGTAGAGAGAGTCATTTCCTTGGGGTAGAGCGGGCCTTCACCAAAAGTTATTACTAGAAATTTGATAGACACGACACACTCATACCACTTGCCTTTCTTCCATCCATTCAAGGAAGAGAAAGTTACTATTATGTTTGTCTTCGCCCCACACTTTCCATATTTCTAATCACCACTCTAGCAACCTCTCCCATGCTCGCCTCTTTCAGTTCTCTCTCGCCACTTTAGGTTAGATTATGCTTATCCCTTTCCCCTAATTCCATGCACCACTTCAGCCAGCCATATCTGACGATGTTGCTTCCACTGCCTCCCCCATCCTAGTCAATCACGTGGTGCTTTCTAAACTCAGCTGCACGGATAATGCTCGCACTCTGAAATTGTGTATGCTCCATACATGATCACGGGAACCTTCACTGCGACAAATTTGACCTAAATTTTATTTTTTATTTTTGTCACAATAGGTATGGTGATATGACAAAAATAATATAGGTCATATTTGGTATGCCTAATGTGACAAAATAACTGTTGTCAGAATAAGTCGTCATTTAAAGTGAGTAATGTGACAAATATTTCGCGTCATAATTAATTTTGTCAAAATAGGTGTCCCATATCGGGATGTAAAAGACTCAATAGTGGCAAATTTCTTATTGCTAGAATAGTTCGTCATTTATAGTGAGTAATGTGACAAATATTTCGTGTCACAATTAAATTTGTCAAAATAGGCATCCCATATCGGGATGTAAGAGACACAAAGTGATAAATTAAATTATATCGTTAGAGTAACTTTTGTCATATTATGCATTCCTTAATTGTTTAAATGACAAAGTATTTTGTCACAATAGATAGCAATAATCTCATAGCGAGCTGACAAAAGGATATGTTCGTCATAATATAGTGGTTTAGGCTTTGACAAAAGGCATGTTCGTCATAATATAATGGTTTCATTTTTGACAAAATGCATTTTCGTCACATTTGCTTGTGTCAGACTGAAACCTTGTGTTAGACTGAAACCAATCGATTCGGCCGACACATTTTGGGATCGTTTGGATGTGGAAATTTGGTGTGGGAATTGGGCTTAATTCCCTCACAATGAAGTAATTGGGTCTAATTTCCATATTTGGATCAACTTAAATGATGTGAAAATTGGACTATGGTAATTGGAGCAAAAACATTGTAACTCATGACCAGACAAATGGTGCTGGTTCTTCTTCTTCTTCTTCTTCTCACCCACTGAAACTTTTTACATGGCTTCGGCCTCCCATGAATTAAAAAAAAAAAAACCGGAGCAAAAACCCACATAGTCAATGCGTTGGAATTGAGAAACCGGCACCCCCCTCCTCCCCGGTATTTCACATTCCCGCATTTATGGGTGTTTTTTCTTTTGATTTTAACCCTATTCTATTGATGGAAACCCAAAATTACCCTGCATGTTTTCCTTATCCATATTTCGTTCATCTTTCTTTTTTACCCTCTCTTTCTGATTTTCTGTTTGCTTCTCTTCTCTCCACCATTGTGCAAAGCGAAATCGAGCAGCCGGTACAGGAAGGGAACTGCGAACTCGGTGGGTGATTAGTAAGGCTTCACGGCGGCGGCGACATACAGCAGAAGAGGGAAAATGGCGTTGCTTATCCAGGTAATTTCTCTTTGCACTAGTAATATACGGTTTGTTGGTAACAAATTAGGGTTTAACAACATTCTAATCTTGCTTCATTCATCTTTCTTCTTTATTATCTCTTTCGGCTTTTCTGTTTGCTTCTCTCCATCATTGTGCCAAGCGAAATCGAGCAGCCGCTTCAGGAAGGGAAGGGTGATCTCCGTGGGTGATTAGTAATGCTTCACGGCGGCGGCGACGACATACAAAAGAGGGAAAAGGGCTCTGCTTAATTGTCCATGTAATTTCTCTTTGCACTAGTAATATACGATTCGTTGGTAACAAATTAGGGTTCAACAACATTCTAATCATGCTTGATGTGTTCCATTCGATTTATGAATAAAGGGCTTTTTCATCATTTGAATGTCGTATGTGTTTGTCTAACATTTTGAGAAGCCCAATCGATAACTATTCGATTGAGTTGATTGGGAGTGAGTTGAAAACTCTATTACTTGATGGGTTCATGTTTATTTGTTCCTATAAATAATCACTAGGGGTCATGTTTATTTGTTAACATTTTCAAGCTTGTATATGATTATCACTTCTGGGTAGGATTTTGTGATGTCAGGACCTCAACGCTCTCCTAGCGCCTATCGATTTTTTGAACCTTGGTTGTAAGTGCTTTCTGTTTTCCATTCGTTTTTTGATGTCTGGTGACGGATGTTATTGAGTCCTTGCTGTATAGTGTGAAACCATGAGTGAGTTAGTTTTTGTTGTAGCTCAGAGATCTTCGTGTGACAGTTTTAGTCACTTTCTTATTGTACATTATGTTTCTTCGCTTATGTGATATCTATATTTTAGCTTTCCATTCGTCTTGCCATGATCGAATTTTATGGCATAGGAAGTAACTTTTTGAAACTGAAACTGATAATATTGTTTACATTTTGACCTGAATTTTCCTGGCACAGGATAGCGTTTTCCATAGTGTGAAAACCAGGAGTTTCAAAATCGAATCCAAGAAAATGCTTCGAGCAAATCGGTTCACAAATCTTGTCTGTTCAACCAGAGCTTCATTGTTCTCATGTGAAGTCCAAGAGGCTCGAGCTCATCATCGTATCATCATTGACTTGAGGAGCTAGCCTCAGCTGGCTTTCGTTCGCTTACTTGACTTCTATTAGGTATTTATGTGCCTCCTTCCTAAAAGAAAATTATGAAGAATTACGACTATTTTCTTTCTATAATATCTTGCTATTGGAAATCGATGTTTGCTTAACGGAGTCCAAAACAATGGGAATTGTAGCTTGGAAACAAAACAACTATTGAGAAAGAGCGTGCCAGGATGTAAGTTTCCAACTTTTTATCCTTCACTGGTTCTTTCTCACCGTAGTTCGTTGTGGTTAGTTGATAATGGTTGTCACGTGATTATGGGCAGTACATTTAGATAGAAGCAAAGGCATACGAGAAGCATGTATCAGGCTGTGAGATTGTTTAGAAGGCCCAGAAGAAAAAGGTGAAGTTTGGACCGAAGTAGAACCAAAGATCCGCAAAGGAATTAGAATGTTTTGTGTCATGGTGGACAACTTAGAATGTTTGGTTATGCTAAACAAGTAGTTAGACTGCTATGGAAATGGTTGTAATGTTTTGGATCACAGACAAACTTTCCATTATCAGGATGCAATGCAGGAAACAATTTCGATTTATGAAATTTTAGAAGTAGGTCAAATGTGACAACAATGTCATGTCGTCACATTATGTACATTGTCTGAAAAATTATTCTCTTGTCATATTAGACATAAGACAAATAAACCACCTTTCATGACAACCTATACTCATAATATGCAGTTATGACAAAATATGTTCGTCATAATATTCAGTTATGACAAAATAATGTCGTCCCAATAAACACTTGTGACAAAATGTAGTTGTCACAATATACAATTATGACAAAATTTAATCATGTAATATGACAAACAATTCTCCCAAAATCACTAGATTATGACAACCGTAATGACAAAATATGTCGTCATAACATGACATTTCTGTTTGTCACAGTAGACTACCTAGAATCTCAGTTATACTAAAAACAAATGTGACAACCTTGTTTTGAATTTTGTTACATTTGACCTATCCTGACGGCGATAAAATGACAAACCTTTGTGACAACACTTTTTGTCATATTATACCTAATATCAGTGTTGTCAAAACCGAACCGGACTGCAATCCGAATTAGCGAGAGGTTTAAGGCTTATCGGATAACCGGTGATTAACCGCTATAAAATCGGTCATAAAACCGGAGATATACAAAATTGAAAATCGAAATTTTTTGAAATAAAACCGGTCATAAAACCGGAGATGTACTAGTTTTGAAATTGAAAATTTTATATTCTATAGAATAATTTAAGATTAAAAAGTTAGATTTACCATTAAATTTTTTATTGGAATCTGTATTTTATTGGTAATTGTGGCCCAAACGACCTCCAAAATTTATGATATTTGTTGTTATTGGACTTGCTCCACTATACAAACACCTACTCTCTTAAACACCACTTTATTATTAGGTAATAGAAAGAGCCATTCACACTAAGGCTCGAGAACTTTAATTGATCCCTCCACCCAGATCAAAATCCACCACTCTGAACAATAATGGCATCAACTTCTTCACTCTTCCTCTCTATCTCCTTCTTTTGCCCAAGCCATTTCTCACCATACCCACTGCTTCTGGTTCCCCGGATCTTCAACCCCGGCTCTACCTCTATCGTCTCTTCACTGCTCCCAACTTTCTCTGGCTTCAAATTCGATTCATCTTCCCGGCCCTGCTCCAATACCCTCCACCTTCTACTCTCACCTCCGTCGCTAGCGCCCAATCGGCGCCGCTGCGGGTGAGACGCTCGCTGTCGATACTATTTTGGCTCCAAAACCGCCGGCTCAGGCGACGCGGTTCTCCCGGTTAACCGCCTCGACCGGCCAATACCCGGGCAAACGCATTTCTTTCCATTTTGAGGAAGTCGGAACCGGGAGACTGTACGGGTCCGGTTAACCGCGATATGACCGGTCGGTCCGGGTTTGATAACAATGCCTAATATGACAAAATGAGTATCTA